AATTTGAACTAGAAACTCAAAAACGCGAAGATATTTAAATGACAAACATATGAAGATCCATGATCTAAATTACTGTGGTAATTAGGAGTATTTGAATTATAGTACAAAATAAGAATCCTAGAAATAACCCAATTTAACCAATAAGTATTAGATGAGCACGAACGAACGTATTGTATTTGGAATTTGATATCAAGCAGTCAACAAATACAAAGGAATTATTAATTCATTTTAACACCACAATTACTCAAGATTATTTAGGGAAAAACTTCAATTGTAAAAACACTCCAGTTTGTCTGATTCATATCGATGAACTATAACTAGAGGCTGACTGAAATGATTAAATATCTTCATACTAACACTAATGCGAAGTACATAATAACAGATAATCATGAAGATGAGAAAAAATTAAGCTGTTTCGGCTTACTATAAAACTCAAAAACATCCAAAACATAGGAGTTAATAATATATTTCTGAATATGCTATTGCTTTCAGACCAAGTATTCAAATACATTCTAGCTGGAATTGTATCTAAAGAACATTTACATTGCAAAACTTAATAAGAAGTACATTACACCACAACGTCACACAATAACCATAAGTAAATAAGATATTTCACTAGCTCTAATTAGAAAACTTTTGTGAAGAAAGTACGTTAACGTTATAGGGAAGCGTGTTGTGGACCTCTACGAGAACCTAATCAAGGTATAATGATACGCAAAGCAAATATTAATATACCAAAACAAACATTAATAATTGGCTGTTGCCAATAAGAAAATGGTAGAAAAATAACACTGAGAACAAAGTTGTATAGTAGGTGATACGATGGTAACAACAGTTGCTTAATGAATGTTACATGGAAGTTGCTCCTATATTGATCATTACAAATAGAGTTCACTCGATTATCAAATATTCCTTCTGCAAAATTAGTACCGATGGCGTGCAACGAAGTTAAATCCAATGGCTTTAATAGGAAATATATATGGCTAGTATTTTCACCTAGTAGAGACTAGCTCAAAATGATAGTACGACACGATTATACTCTTCAATCACAAGCCGTGGCTAACATATCAGAAAATAGAACGACGTAGTGTGGTATTTGCATGAATTATTGATTCGTTTGTACTTGATGACTGCCTAATGTCGAATTCTAAATACAATGCGTTCATCTTTGCTCATCTAGTACTTCTTGGTTGAATCGTGCTTTTTCTGGGATTCCTGGTTTATATAATAATTCAAATACTTTTAATTATCACATTGGCGTCGCGATAGAGCTCGTGATGGAAAAATTGGACATGCATTCAGATTTTGATGCTTTTAATATGACATGGAAAGGTCCAAAATCTGGACTATGACCAAGGAAGATGTTGAAGATGTTAATATTCTGGCTAGTTTCCTTACATTCATCGGAAAAGAAGCCTACAGCTTGTTTAAAACTTTGGCATTCTCAGAAAAACCTATTTTACTTTCTTATGCAACTCTCAAGGAATTATTACTAGATCATGTTAAGTGTACAGATTTCGAACGCTGTAATGGAGCAAAATCCCCTGGAATGATTCGTCAGGATATCCAGAATACCACTACATTACTACGTCATCCCAACCCAATGGGTACTCAAGGTTATGCAGATACCAATTCATTGAGGAGTCGCGATGCCGGTCACGAAGATGAACACAAGTTTGGTAGATGTTTGTCCTGTAGTGAATTTCACTCATGTAATTCATGAGTACTTCGTAATGCTAAATGCTTTAAATGTGGTGAGAGTAGACACATACATGCAGTTTGTAATACTGCTGTTCATTTCACTGTAAGTAATGCTAAACTTTGTAGTTCCTATTCTATTAAGTTGAATGTTTCAAATGAATCATACTCTGATCACATTCATAGTATTATTTTACCAGATGTACGATTTTCTCATGATTCACGTATTTCTAATGAAATTATTTACAAATATGTGGAAGATATATCGAGTAAAGAAATCCTGATCAGAACTCTGTTATTTTTCAGATGTGGTTTGTCCCAATGACTCATTTACTTCTAGTGAAATCCTAATTAAATGTGAGGAACTAGTTCTAAATTAGTTGAAATCTGATCACAGTCCTTGTAGTATCGCATCAGATGTTATTTGTAATTTTCTAAATGAAATTCTTAATAAATTTGAGGAAAATATTTCAGAAGAATCGAATCCTGATGTCATCAAATGTTATTTGTCTTCACAATGGATTTGTCTCTAGTGATATTCCTATTGAATGTGACAAATATGTTCCGAATGAGTCGAATTACAGTCACATTTCTAATGTTATTGTATCTGATGTTGGGTATTCTCACAACCAATTTATGTCGAGTAGAATCCGTAGTCAGTGTCATGATGAATCAGAGTGAATAGCAAGTTTTCCTGAAGCATTCGGAGAACCGGTTTGCCCAGATATGAAGTTTGCACACGCAAAATATTCGAGTCGAGTCCAAGATTATCCTAATAAGTATGAGGCAGATGCATATTTTCCATTTGATTGTTTTGCAGGTGAATCAAGCCTAGATGAGTCACATGTGTTAATTACAGATGTCAACGCATATTTATCTGATAACTCGAACAATGACCTTGTGTATTCTAACGCGAAAAGCAAAAGGAATATGAATCTTATTTCTTATGCAAGTCAGTCACATGATGGAACGCCTCAAATTATATGTTAGAGTGTATCCCCGAATACTCACATATAAAGGTCGAAGTGTGAGATTTAAGATTATAAAAATTCGTCATAACATTGTGACGTAGGGATTTAACATTATTTCGTGGGAGAGGATAGAATGGCAAAGTCCATGATTGAAATTCTAGATATTAGTGGTTTCACTACACAACCGACATGGTGATTGTATATAAAGGCAGTACCCAGGTGAGTCTGTTCCGACTGTTAATTTTAATACTAATGAGCATATTATAGATCATACAGAGTCTGTACTCAATAAAGTCTGACAGACATACAATGAACCTAAGGAGAAGACGGTTAGTCGATTACAGAAACTTAGATTCCAATTTCATCTCTGTCGGTTGTAGTGTTTGTATGAATGAATGATTTCTTTGTACGCGATGTTTGTCTGATTTCGAATTCTAAATACAATACGTTTGTTTGTGCTCACCCAATTCTGTCTGGCTTAAATTGCGCTATTTCAGGGATTCCTAGTTCGTTTAACAATTTAAATTATCTGACATAGGTAGGATTTATTTAAGCACTAAAGAATATAACGCGAGTACCAACCAGTTGATTGTTGTCTATTCACAACTGATGCAAATATGTAACAGTGTATGTATGTTGGCTGTTTGAATCTTTCACTGATGTTTAGGATTGAGATAGTTATTGGATAGAAATGTGATTACACATAATTAGTTATCAAGAAATAAGATATATAGTCTTTTTATTGTAGTTATACCAATACTTTATTTACCAGTTTCTATATACGTTTTCTTCCTGTAGAGCATACGAATGCTGAAGAATGCCTCTTTTTTATTAAAAATACAAACTAAGGATATTTCAACTAATAATCAAAAACTTAACAATCTCCGCAACCCCTAAACTGATAATTGATAATATCTTTTTATTGTTAATGTTTTTTGACCAAACTATATCTAACACCACTTAGTCATTGACACGGTTTCCAGGTCCATGTAAGACTTACTCAGTATTTACACTTTATCGATTGTCCGTACTAAAACACGAATATTTTATTGGACTGTTTTCTTTTTTAATGAGTAATGATTAAAACAGCAAGTAGTAATAATTTTGGGTTTCATCGAGTTTTATGCTCACTTCGTTTCTGCAATGGAACTTACACGTAATCCCGATTATTCATGTTTGTACTTTAAATCTTAGCAATAAATTGACATACCGGTCCTAAAGAACAGTCGTAGTTCGAAAAAATAATGTTGGGTACTCTGGTAGAATCTGAACCACCTAGTTTTCTTCCATATATTTCGTTTGTGGTCAGCAGTGGAATCCAGAGATCACTAAGGTATGAATTCTGATATTTTGAGGATCTCAATGCACTGAACAATAGCTAACAGCTACAAATCTAAGATCGGTATTACGCACTGTGGCAAGTAAAATGATTTCTGATCACGATTGGAAAATTGTGCACAAGTGACTCAACGAACCAACTGTTACTGTTAAAACTGATAAATGCTCAAGTTAATGTTACTTTTATTAATCGATGTGCATCTATATCTTGGTTGAAAAATTAGGTTCTTTAAGCACAACAAAATATTTTATCTGATGTAAGATAAAAAGTTATAACAGTTATTTCTCAACATAATGGATAGGCTCAGTCAGAAGTGTTTTTAATGATTATCACAATAGGGTTGGTAGTAAAAACACATAAGAATACTCCGTCAGCGGTTTCTGTATCTTACTATGACGAAAAATGACATTTCTTATATTGTCCCCTTCGGACGTAATACATTTGTTCAGACAGCGATTTCTAACAAGAAAATCTGAACACTTGTAACTTTAACATAACAAAACTGGGTATACTGACCATTCGACACCGAACCACCAAAAGACTCATTTCCTCCTTTTCTAAATACTAAAGAGTGCATGATATTTATCAGTTCAGATTATTCTTTAAATATTGTTATGTTCGTGTTCATCCCTTGTGTTTATGTTACCATGGATTTTACTAAAAAAACCATATACATCTTGATTATACCAATAAAATTTTATTATAAGTATTATTATAAATGGCAAGAAATGCATTTAATAAAAACTGATAAACTTTCCAAAACGAAGAGATTTAATGACAGTAGTATATACTGTGTCACTAGTGAGTGACCTTGAGATGGAGATGCAAGTAGAACATATGCGTACAAACATAAAATACCTAATAAAAAACATGAGAAAAGCTGTTTCAAAATAATCTGGAATCTGGAATTACACAACCTGCGTACAGGTACTAAAATCACATAATTATGTATATTATCAAATGCAAACAAACGAAAGTTTGGTAGCAATAGTTCAGGAACAATCCGCATCTCCACCTGTCATGGAATCGTCATTGTCTGAGATCAGAGGAATGAATTCCGGAGGAGGATATACGTTGCGTAGTGAACCAGCTGGAGCAGCAACAGGACCAAAATCATTATGATCACAAGTATCTTCTAGTTTAGTAATTAAAGTTCTACAGGCGTTTTTAGAAACAGTTGTTAATTTGGATAATTTCTGATGACCAGACTTGTTCAAAAATGACTTTTTGCACCCATATATGGCGCTTAATACACTAAAACGATATAAAAAACATATTGTCTAATGAAATATACATAAATTGTGAGAAACACTTTTGAACTTGGTAGAAAGACTCAGTAAGGTATTTTTAGCTACTATTACTGTAATGTTAGTCATAAAGGAACGTAAAGAACATTCAGTAAAATATCTGAAGAAAATGAAATTAGTTTGCTCTCATAATTGTAAATAATGGTGGACTCTTGTCAAGCAGATGAAAATGAATACTTCCAATTTTCACGTCGTGACAGACTCATTCGACTTTGAAACAATTATTGTTTTGGCGTGAACATTTCGACAAACCAAAGGTAGGAGAACATAGCTCCAACGCTCCATTTACACTTCTCGGACGTAAGACAAAAATCAACCAAGAAGTCTTTTATAACAATATCTGTAGAAAAAGCTTGTTTCGATGTTCAAAACGAACTATTTTACGAACCATGTGAAGTCGGTTATATGGAACAAATTATGACAGTTTCCTCCAGGACGGAAAAGGCATCAGATGGTATATATATGTACGATTGTATAGCTTGACAGTAAATTCGTTGGAAAGAGATACCTTCGTCGAACTTTGTTTTTAATGCCTAAATGGGAATAACTTCAATATACAGTACCTACAAACAGTTCAAGGCATGAACAACTTCTCCATTCACTCCGCTTTTGTTTCCAGCGACCTAAATTTGTTAGTGCAATGTCAACACAGATGCATTTTTTCAGTAAGTAATATTATTGCTTCGAAGATGTAAGTAGCTGAATACAATATACGAAATACATAAATTCATATTAGTCTGTTAAGATTGATGTTCCTGCTTTACTGGAAAATGAACATACCAAGCGACCTAGCGGGCAACGACCACGAGAGAAATCCGAACATACAGCTGTCTTTGGAGGGTGCCTTACATGCAAATAAGGACAGTGAAGACGTCCACACTTTCCGGATTCATAGTAAGTACATTGTGGCAGTCTACACGGATCTAACACATGAGCAAGTGGACAAGACTCGCTTCCCAGAGAACAGCTTTGTTGTAAAAACCTGTAGGACGAAAAAGTTGCTTAGGCAATAAAGTACGTTTTAGATACCAATAATAAAATAGTACTAAAATTACAAAAGGAATACTTAAAACGTTTGGACAGCAACGCAAGCCCTCACTTTAGTTTGAAAAACTTATTGAGAATGGGATATCGTGATGTGCTGTGTGGACGAGGATGATGTGATGGAAATAGAAATGAATGACTATATGGATGGTTGAAAAAGAACAACTCAAAGAAACTAGGGAGTAATTTTTATTCCGGTGTACTTCTGGTATAAGTTTAGAATAGAGCAGTCACTATCCGAGAAGTCGTGAGGCGTTAATGGGTTTTATCTCAATAAAATTATGTACCATAACACATTGCAACTTTACGAACTAACCTCATATCCCAAACTTTAGGTCATTAACTAAACTATCAAATAATTTTTGGTAGGAGACTCCTGGAACAAACAAAACGTGTGACTAGAAAAAGTTGGTGCTGCAAAGTAACTCATCAAATAAAAAACCTATTTCGCCAATTTTTTTGAGTAGTAATACCCAGATCAACACCCATGACTCAGATACACTCAGATGAAAGTAGTACGTAAAATATCTGACGTAAAAGCATCCTCATCATTGTTAATAATTTCAGTAATGTACGTTAAGATTTTCAACTAATGACTCTAAACATTTTATATAGCCACATAAGCTAATGCTGTATGACAGTTACCATTTCATTCGACCAAAATCTTTGCTTGGTCAGCATCTTAAGTTTCTATTATTAACTTATCAGTTAGGTGCGGATTCGGAACTTGATTCTGAGACACACAGGAATGATGATGCTACCCAGCTGAATATGCCGAAATAGGTGGGACGGAGTTCGAACCAGTCGGACGCATTAAAAACTGAGATACAGCTCCTTAACCTTAGTGATCGGACAGAAATCAGGGCTTTCAACGTGATATAGTCATTGTTAATGTAGGGAATACCTCTAATTAGCACACATTTAGTCACTGAATATTAACACGGCTGAAAATCTATTACAATGGCACGAATACATTTGCCCAACCTATTTCGAATAACGTAGACTAATATATTTTCTCCTCATCTTTTAACTAAACCTATGTCAAATGAGAAACTAAGATATTTGGTTTTGCAATTTCTGTACAATCTAACTCCCGACCGTTGTTGCTACCTTGACGTGGTGGTCGGGCTTGCCTATCGTGATGAAGCAACCGAGCTATACTGGCTGGAACAACCGTTCCTCAAGGTCCTACCATGTCAGACAGGTCGGTTGAAGAGCGGTAAGACTAAAAGCAACAAACCCAAGGTCCGAAGGCGAAGTCGTACTGCTGACTGTACAGAGGTGTGACAGCAGTAAGGTGTTTCCTTCAGACAACCAGCATGACAGCGATGCTGCCTTCCCACAAGGAGGGGTGGGGTTAGAAAAGGTCGACCCTAAAAATGCACACCTCGCCTTATCCCACGGATATCCGTCTCCGGCGGTAAGGTCTCAACAAGTACGGAGCTAACACAAAAATTACCCATAAAAAGGTCGTGTGTGACCGACCTCAAGCAGTTGTCCCTTGGGCACTGCGGTCACGCTCTCAGGTCACTAAGACCACCTCTAATCCAATTTCCTTTTCAGGTACCTCCAGAAGAACCCTTCCACGGTGTGGGCAACCGGGAAGTGATAACCGCCCTCATACCTCTAACAGCACTCAAGACCACTGTATTCATAATCAACCTCCTCTTCAATTCCTATTATTCCTCCTACATCGACTTTCAACTCTAAACTTCCTTTTCGGCTTTCTCCTCAAGTGTCACCATAGCCAACGATTCTAGTGCTCAAAACACTGTCCCAGGTCTACTGAAACCTCGCTCCAAACTACACATTGGAGCCTTCAACGTACGCACCCTATGTCAAATCGGTCAGCAGGCTTCCTTGGCTAAAACCCTAGAGTCTCTTACCATTGATGTATGCTGTGTCTCCGAAACACGCATACAGGATCCAGTGTGGTCATTCACTTGACCTCACCTCGGCAAAACGGAGAGCCAACGAGATACACCCTCCGTGTATCTGGTGACCCGATGGCCAGTTCTCGTGGACTGGCAGGTGTAGGCATAGCACTAAGCATGAGGGCGGAACAAGCACTGCTAGAGTGGATCCCCGTCAACAGTCGTTTATGTGCTGTTCGGCTAAACGGCTCCGTAAGAACTCGGAAGGATAGGGACACACGTCGTTGCCTTTTTGTCGTTTCTGCCTACGCTCCCACTGACTGCAGCTCAGATGAAGTGAAAGATGAATTTTACAGAAAGCTATCTGAACTTCTTCAGAAAGCTAAACGCTCAGACATAGTACTCGTAGGGGGTGACTTTAATGCCCAGATAGGTAGTTTAAACCAAACAGAAAGGCATTTAGGTGGGTATTTTAGTATTCCAGCACAACGAACAGATAATGGTGATCGTCTGCTGCAACTGTGCTCAGACAATCGTTTATTTTTAGCAAACACAAATTTTAAGCATAAGGAGAGACATCGTCTAACATGGCGACCCCCTACACCAAACCAACGATGGACTCAAATAGACCATATTGCCATCAGTCATCGTTGGAGAGGGTCGGTAGAAGATTGTCGCTCATTCTGGAGTACCTGCTTGGACTCCGACCATGCCCTAATACGGGCACGCATCTGCTTGCGCCTCACTGGACGCAAAAAAGCCACATTAAAAAGACCCATTAGAACTGAATTGAGTAACGAGAAAACCAAAAGTAGGTTCCAGGAACAACTGAGGTCACACTTAGGTAGTTCTGAAAAAAGGCTGACCCAGATGTTGCTTGGAAAGCTATACAAACAGCTGTGGAAACAGCAGTGACATCTATCAGTGATTTAAACCACAGGGTTACAAAGAACCAATGGATTTCTTCAAGGTCTATTGCACTGATGGATTCTCGTAAACTCATCCCATCAGGCCCTGAACACGATCAACAAATCAGATCTAGGTTAAGCAAAAGTCTAAGGAACGACCGTGAGCAGTGGTGGGCAACGAAAGCAAAAGAGATGGAAAAGGCGGCGACTATAGGGAACACAAGACAGCTTTACAGACTAATAAAAGAAACTGGAATTAATAAGTCAAGTGTAAGTGAGATTATTTCGGAAAAAGACGACACCCTCATCTGCTCCCAGTCCAGACGTTTAGAACGATGGGCGGAACATTTCAGAGAACAGTTCAGCTGGCCTTCAGCTACTCTACAACTACCCTCCATTCCCAGACAATGTGAATGGAACATTGAAGTAGGTCCCCCAACTCTAGCTGAAGTTCAAAAGGCTATAGTTAATCTGAAACGAGGAAGGGCAGCTGGTCCAGATGGATTGGCTCCAGGTCTTTAAGGATGGTGGTCCAATTTTAGCGATTAGGTTGACTAATATTTTAGCTAAGATCTGGGAGTTAGACGTTATTCCATCTGACTGGTCACAATCACTTATCGTCCCAATATATAAGAGAGGGTCAAAATCATCCTGTGACAACCATAGAGGGATTAGTTTAACTAATATAGTATCTAAAATACTAGCCTCGATAATTATCAGACTCGTGAACTGCAAACACGAGAGAATCAAGCTGGCTTCAGACCTGGTCGTGGCTGCATCGACCACATATTCACCATTCGTCAGGTTCTAGAACATAGGCATACTTATCGGCGTCCGACAATGGTGGTCTTTCTTGACTTAAAAGCAGCATTTGACTCGGTAGACCGCGAGATTCTGTGGCAGTGTCTGTCATTGAAAGGCGTACCTCAGAAGTACATAAACCTTGTGAAGGCTCTTTACTCGAACACTACTAGTCGAGTCAGAGCTTATGGCGAACTGTCATCTACTTTTGCAACCTCAAGTGGTGTCCGTCAAGGCTGTCCACTTTCTCCATTTTTGTTTAACTTCATCATAGACCTATTGATGGAAATAACATTCTCGTCGACTGAATTCTCGGGTATTGATCTCCTTCCAGGAGGTCCACTTATCGACTTAGAATACGCAGATGACATAGTCCTGTTTGGTGAAGACGCTGACAAAATGCAGAGTCTTTTGGTAGCACTAAGCAACAATGCCAGAATGTTTGGAATGCGCTTCTCTCCCTCTAAATGCAAGTTGTTGCTTCAGGACTGGTCTGCGTCAACACCTGAACTAAGGATAGGGAGTGAAGTAGTCGAACGCGTTGACAACTTCACTTATCTTGGAAGTCTGATCAGCCCTAATGGGTTGGTGTCTGACGAAATCTCAGCACGGATTCGAAAAGCTCGTTTGGCTTTTGCCAACTTACGTCACCTATGGCGAAGGCGAGATATCCGTCTATCAATAAAAGGACGAGTATACTGCGCGGCAGTCCGTTCTGTTTTAATTTACGGCAGCGAAACATGGCCATTAAGAGTAGAAGACACTCGTAAGCTACTAGTATTTGACCACAGATGCCTTAGAAATATTGCTGGCATCTGCTGGGATCACCGGGTAAGTAATAGTGAGGTTAGACGCAGGGTATTAGGGAATGATGGTAAATCAGTTGATGAGGTTGTTAATCTTCATCGACTGAGATGGTTGGGCCACGTGTTACGTATGCCTGAACACCGATTACCACGACGTGCAATGCTAACCGGTGTTCGGGATGGTTGGAAGAAAGTTAGAGGCGGCCGAACCAAAACGTGGCATCAGTCCACAAAGTCACTAACTTCTAGTCTGAGCCATGTTGGTAGATGCAGACTACTTGGTTGGGGTCCGCGTGACTATCGGAAACAATGGTTGGAGACTCTTGGTGACATAGCTCAGAATCGATCACAATGGCGTCGGTGTATACACTCTCTATCTTCCCTTAAACTAAGAGATTAAAGTTGCTTCATATCTTTCTTTCTACGAACTAATTCTTTCTTCCTGTACTATATCCTTATTGCAATCTTTCTTTTATATATTACCACCTCTGAATTAACTACTTATATGACTCCGGTGTCCATCTTGTTGTGTTAATGAGGTATGGCAACTTGGACCGATGCATATATGTGCCTGGTCCTACGTTGTAGCTGACTGACTGACTGTACAATCTAACTCCAGTCCCACTTGGTATGAATCTTTGTCTACTATTCTTAGAAGCAAGATCTCGCACCCATCGATTGAGATAAATAGAATTTTAGCGCAGTGAACTAACTCTGATTATTTTATCCTCGGCATGAATTATTTCAATCGCAAAATTTAAAATATTTCTGCTGCAGGTGGTAGGAAACATCATTGTTGATACTATGCACAATTCAGATACTAAACTTATGTAGATATTCACATCCCTATTTAGATAGCAAATACGTTAATCTCCATTTAATATAACCATGATGTCCATGCATTAAGTCGCCTAAAATCGTCCCATTAACAAATAAAGCCAGTTCTATTAACACATCTATAACAAAAACAAGTAGGAATGTTAGTACGTCTCACTTATAAAGTTCTCTTCAGATTTTAATTAGAATTACTAAATCATTAAATTCTGACAAATGTATAAAGCGATGAGAAACTATACTGAAAGTCAGTTTTCCAAAATGAACATCAATACCTTAGTGGTCTCTAAGTACAAAGTTTATCGACTCGCTAGTCACTAACTTTCCAACCTGTGCCATCCCTTAACTCGATATGGTTTCAAAGCTCTGTTGTGAAGTAGTTCATGCTCACAATAAGAACCATTATTACTAACACACAATAAGAACTATATTGTGACTTCGCCAAACTTGTCCCTAAAATACTACTCAGTCAGCTTTCATTTAAAAGCCAAAACATGGACCAATAGGATTAACGAAGTGCAACCTACCTTGGGCAGATACGTAGATAATTTTCATCATGAGAGTAAGAGCACTGCTGCGCAGAGCAAAATCCAGTCCTGCAGTAACTTTGACAAACCATACGGCGACGGAACTTCAAACTGTGCACAGCCTTCTGGACAATTTTCCTGAAGTATTATCAATACGAATAGCAGACATACTTGTACTGATATGCAGATGGACGAGGTATATTGTGCCGGTTCATTTTCTTAATGGAAAACTTCGTGACAAGCTGTGAGTTATTTTTAGATGCAAGCCTCGAACTAGCTGAACTACCAGGCTTGACATACCTAAACCGACTTGTTTTAGTATACAACACATTGCTACTGCTAGGTGGCAAACGAACATTATTTTCCCGAACCCGACTTATCACACCACTAGAAATTTCACTACTAAATAATTTATCCTGATGCTGTGAGAAGTCCGGAACGGGGTCGAAAATTGTTGATTACTGTTCCCGTGATCGCTTCTCCTAATATAATTGTAGGGTCTATCTTTGCCAATCTTTGTGTTGTATGTTTGACTCCCGTTAAATCTAGAATAAATACTAGAGGGACTGTGTTTAAATACATGTGCACTAGTTAAGCTAGAAAATGTGTATTTATCCCACTTAAGAGAGCTGGATAACGGGCGCCAAAACAATGATGAATTGACTTTGACATACTTATATCTATTTTGACAATTCGATACCTTTAGTTTGTTTGACTGGCCTGCAAACCACTTCAAAGACCTACGATGTGTGTCCATAATTTGCGCAGAAAACGTTAAATGACCCGCCACTGTTCGAGTGATTCAAGAGTCTCAAATGGTTCGAATGGTTGTGGAGGGAACAGTAGAAGCTTTTGCTTAACGGGCTTCCGTGACTAGTAGCAGTGACTCACCAATACCTCCAGTCAGGAATCTAGGTATATTAACGATAATAGAGGAAAAAAGAAGTCGGTAAATCATATTAAGATACTATCCTTAGTCCTTAATATTAGGTCAAGTTTCCTCTGAAAGGACTCCTGGGAAGTCTCGTGGACTAGCTCAGCCGGCAGAGAATTCCAGCATATGACCACTCTTAGGGAGTAGAAGTTGTGTCTACAGTCCGTCCTGCTGTGTTGTGTCTATAGTGACCTACTTTTAGCAGGAGAATGCGATTGGTGTAATGGAAACAATTATTATTAAAACCAATTGCACCAGGGATTTGTTACATCCGAGCGAAGGTTAAATCACGAAGAACTTTTGAGACATATTAATTGACTAATATTATCTATACATTTTTATGGTATAACTATTCAATAATTAGATCACGTATATTTATATTCCTCTTATCATAAGCTCTTTTTTGCCTATAATTTATTATTGTACGATTTAAGGTTCTTAAGCTATGTTCAGTTTATTGACTACTGCCTCCCATGTTCACAGTTCTTTTTTTGGCTTTATTGTGTACAAATGTTATTTCATATTTTATGGTGCTTTGCGGTCTGCTTGGTTGATATATAAACCCAGTATGTCTGAAATAAATGATTCGATTCGATTTGCATATTGGAAACTGGTATTTGGTGTTGTGGATTCAAGTGGACGGGCTAGGTGGACATAGGACCAATAAGGACGCTAGACTGCCCATACCAGTCGAACGTCATTGGTTTTGACACAGTGCGAAGATAGTATAAGTCATATTTTGAATGGTGGATAAACCACGTGATAAAAGCCGGACTTAAAGTCATAACAGGGTTGTTTTACCTTACTTATTTGTTTAACTGTACCAAAATACAAACAGTCTTCCGTTGATTGTGACCTTGAACGAACTTACGTTTGCTGAACGGTTCCACTTATGCTCTACTGGCACGATCTCAGTATTCTTTCGATACCACGAGACCTCCAACAAATATATCTCGCTACGGCCTTCAATCGCCTTTTGCTTTCTGGTTTACTCGAAGGTTTAGCCTGTTCTGGCACGTAATCTTCTTGTAGTGGTGACCATAGTCAAAGGCGATTCGACGCCTCACTACAACTGGTCAGCCAAATCTGGGAACATGTCTCAACCTCTGGAAAATCTCCCAGAGAAGACTACTCCGGCGAGTCCATTATCTACCTATCCACTTTTGTTGCACATTTTCGTATTGATATTTTCAATACATGGAATCCGAGCAGAAACTGATATGGTATATAAGTGTGGAATTAATACGCAAACCTTTGCGACAGCCTTACGAAGGATATTTTCACGTGATTTCCCACCGCGAAAAGACCTTCATGGTTGATCGACATGGCAGCGTCGAGGTCGTTAGCATCGGTCGTTTCAAGCCAGCACACGTCGATGACAGTGCTCTGTCTGATAAGTGGAGAATCAATGCTAGAGCCATCAAACCTATTAGCATGATCTCTACATCTATCTCGGATCCCACGCTAGATTTATCAGAAACCTCATTCTCACATCCCTGTCAACAACACGTGTCATCTGCACCATCTACGAACGAGACTTTAGTCTCACGTCCGGATCAGCGGACCACGCCGCCCGTGACTTCGGATGAGATTGCAGGCTCACAAAGTACGAACGAGACTACTGTCTCACGTTCCAGTCGCCGAGTACGCCTACCCGTACGCCTTCGCGACTAACCGCACAATCAACAACGGATACGGTGTAGGACTATTCCCATACTGCATGCATGCTACACTTTTTCTCTTTTCTTTTGATTTTTTTCGTATCCTAGGCCCACGCCTCCGACCGTCACCCGTTTGGTACCGTTGACTTCAGTCAACCTTGGCGAAAGCTGATCTGGACACCCACGCTCTTGTCAGCACACTCAGTCGATGTTCTGGTTCCGAATATGTCTTGCATTTGGTTGTTATAGTCGCTTCTGGTTTCTTGGCTCACTGTGGTTCCGTCCTACATCTGCAGCGTTTTAGGGTCCGCACCATTACGAACGTAACATTTAGATCCTGGATACAAACCTTTCTGGTGTGGTACAATAACTCGAGCAACAATACGGCACGTTTCTCCTGGTACCGTTCTACGTAAAAGACCTTCGGTGACAACTCGAGGATCAAGGATCGCTTCCTGTTCTGCCGACACTTTCGTCCTGCAATCGCACGTTCGCCGATCACTTCCACGAACGAAAATGCTACGTATCGAAAGTGTAAACCCCTTCTAGCGTGGCGCCCCTGTAGTGACCTACTTTTATCAAGCGAACGCAACTGGTGTAATGGAAACAATTATTATTATAACCAATTGTACCAGAGATTGTTTTACCATACTTGTTTTCTTTCTTCAGAATCTTGCTCTGAGGGCACAGCTATGGAAAATTTGACGTCTGGAACAAACTTGACGTACGCGCCTCTTCAAGGCTATGGTTTACAACAAGCGCTCTACGAGTATGCTTTAGAACAACTGAAAACCTAATAAGTCGGAAACGATGCTGTGAGCCAACGAATGCTGTAATTTATAGATCATGCCTGTAAAAATGGCGTGTACCTGCTCATGTAGAAATATATTATTATTAACTGTACCAAAAAACATAGTCTTCCGCTGATGTGCAGAAGTGTTGAGGATACTGTAAGCCATTAGAAGGTCACCTCTAAAACTCCTGTACTCTAATGGGTAAAGGTTTAGTGATTTGAGACGCTTCATAAAGAATTCTTTTGAAGAGTAGGAAATTCAATCAGGAATGAAAACAGAAAGTGTTTCAACGGGTTTTCATGGTCGTTTAGCATAGTAGCTAGGTCTCACTGCACCTCATGTTGGATGCTTCACCTGACTGCAGTCAGCTTCCTAGTCCCAAGTTCGTCTATCACTGGATCCATTTATATACACTGTTCCTCCTAACAATCACTTTTTCATTCATTTTTTATCCTCCAACCATCCTAACTTAGGTGTTCTGATGGCACTTTCATTTAATTCTGTTCTATTTAAAGAGCTCTCAGCTTCGCTTCAGCCTAGATCAAATCTAGCAACATTACGAGACCTTCACTTTCTTCACTATAAGTAAACGAGAACAACAGACGAAAGGCTTTTGTCGGAGCTGAAAAGTCTGGTCATTTTCCTATATTTTTAGTGAGTAAATTGATCATCTTAGTGGGTCTATTACAATAAAATTTCAATTTAAAATCTTGATCTTTTCAGTACTCAAGACTTTGTTTGTAAGGTTTGTGTGTTACACCTGGATGTATTTTGTAAGACTTACATTGTATCGTATTTTGTAGACTAAAGCAATAAATAATCGATAAAATAAATAGCTGTAAAAGTCTTGGACAATGACAATGGCTATTTTAGTCCTACTGAATGCACTTTTAGCTCAGTGCAACCTATCAGGTGTCCGTACTATATCATGTTTGTGGACCTCGTGTAGTGCATGTCTAAAGATCTAGGTGGCTGAGAAATCATGTACTTCATAGCCTTAACCTGCAATTCAAGTATATTATCAGATCATGTCAGCATTAACTTCAATAACTATTGATCTCTGTGCCACTGTTTGTTTCAGACTCTATGTTGATTATGACTGACTGAAAAGATCTAGACAGTAGCACTTTCAACTACTGTGTATCCGATTCCGTAATAAAAATGTACACAATAATAGTTTTGGTCCATCAGGGTGCTTGGTACCTGCGTGGTTGCGCCACAGGATTGAGCTGTACTATTCAGATTGTAGCGTTAAAGCCTATACGGTGTCTGGTTCCCCTGCTAGACGGGGTTGAGCTGCACTGTTTGGGTTTTCATGTGAAAGTCCGGATGGTGTCTGGTTCTCCTGAAAACCAATTTAAGATTACCCTGGCCCACAAGGGTATGTTATATAACTATATAACAATAATAATTTATTCTCACGTAACATATTACACCAGTTTGCCGACAAGACAGTTATGTTCGAATCGTCACAAGACTTACTGTAATGAGTTGTTCAGTTTGACCGATATGTTGCAAGAAACAGTAATCATGTGAACGAGGTAATAAAGTTAACTGTATAGGAGTATGATTAGCGGTAGCAAAACTAGAGTGGATAATCTAACAATTGGCGCGTTTCATAGCAGCTGCATTACGACGAAAACTGGATGTCGATAAATAAACCAAACGAGTTCCGCAACTATTCAAAGTGGAAAAAATATTCTGGTATCCAGTTGAAAATTGTGATTGTGGCAAATTACTCGGTATCCTTGTTGTAATTCTACAGAAGACATAATATGCTATAGGTCTGTCTAATATATCAGAGGTATTAATTAGTCGTATGCTCT